GGAAGTTTCAGCAGTTGGTGTGAGCTTGCTTAATAACTATTCTCCAACTATTTGGGTTGGTCTAATAAAAGATATCAGATTCACCCAAAGAACCTTGTCTGCCTATGTCCTTAGACCAACACGGCTACAACCCACACCCCTGCAGTATGGTAAATAACACTTATGAAGTCTCACAAAATAAAACATGCATTTTATAATGCGCAAATGATAAAAATCCCAAGAAAGGCAAGAATAACATTCTTTTTCTGTGATTGTCTTCTTGTGGTGCAGTTGCATTGGCACACCAGTTAAGCCATCTGTATATTTGCCATTTTAAATGGTTTACATGTAAATATACATCTGTCATCCCTGGTACTCTGATCCTGTCCAGCTCCACTTCACCTTTCAGAAGAATCGCATCCTTCAGTCTTGTACTAAAAAAAAATGGATCCCTCTTCTGCAGAAGAGGACTGCTTGTATGGTCAAATATTCTGAAATCACGCTTACCTTGACAGTAAGTAAATTATAAACAGGGATCCTGGTTTTCTCTGATTTTAAAAAATCCCCAGTTTTCCGTTAAAAAAGTAACCCCAAATCCAAATTTTCCCATGATTTAAAGGAAACACCACTAGTATATATGTATCTATGTATTAGTGGTGTTTCATTTCTAACAGAAAATTGGGGATTTTTTTAAATTCTAGAAAACCAGGATCCTTGGTTATAAAAGATAAGAAAAAGATTTATAATAAAGACATGAGCAAGCATAAAAATCAGTGACCATATGTTGTGATACAAACAGAGATGTAAGAACAAACAAGCAAAAGATATTATCAGAACAATAATCTGATCTTACTTTTCATCTTAAACCCAAGAGCATACATCAACTGCAGATGCTTCCTCAGCCTGATGAAGGGTTTTTAAACCCAAAAACTTGTGAAGAAATTTTTTTCCAACTATTTAAGTTGGTCTAATAAAAGATATCAGATTCACGTGAAGAACCTTGTCTGCCTATGTCCTTAGACCAATACGGCTCCAACCTACACCCCTTAAACTCAAGAATGCACCTTTCACCCAGCTCAAAATGTCAGATCCTGTTGCAAGTTCTCTTGCCAGTCTACTGGATGAGGGACCAAAGCATCTTATGCCCAGGAAGCTCTTTTTAGACTCAGTTCACCTCTTCTCAGGCTGAAGCATCCCTCAAAAACTTTTGTGAATCAAGCAGCACCCATTTCAAAAACTAATTTATTATAGGGCATACCTCCTTGCAGTGGGGGCAGAAGAAACAACCAGGCAGAAGAACCTGCTCCTGCTCTTATCTGCTTATCTCCTCACACCTAAAGCCTACCTGCCTTTTTTATCTCCTCATACCTTACTTATATTCTTACACTTCATTCAGAGCCCTTCAAAGGTTTTTTGCAACACTCTGGTTGAGAATCACTGCTTTAGACAAACCTTTGCAAGGCTTAAGTACTTGCCCTTATCTGGCCAATTCCATTGTGTAGAATTCTTGAAGGTCAAGCATTGTGCATATAAACTTCTGCCCCACTTATGTACATTTATTTGGCCAGTCAGGCATCTTCACTGACCCATTTATAACAGGAGGAATATTTACATCTTTTCAGACCTAAAGATTACCAGCCCAGCCTTCAAGTCTCATCAAATGCTATTTGTATAGAAGATTATTTCCCCTGCCTGGGTCAGGCCTTGGTGCCTCACCTTGGTACTCAATATGCATAGTTATGCAGTATAAATTCTCAGTATTGACCATATTTACTCAATTCTAAAATGAGGGTTTTTTCCCCATTTGACATGGGCAGAAGAGCCCCGTGTCTTACAATTGAGCATGAGGTGGGGTGGGAGAGGGCAGGCAGCTGCTGTGGCTCTGGCTCTAACTCGTACCTGGGGTCAGAGTTGGAGCCACAGCTCTTGCTTACCCACCACCCCGGACCACCATTGCCACCTCTGCACCCCTTCATCTCCCCCATGAAAGCCTCTTCTCCTCACCCCCCACCCCATGCAGGCTCTGCTTCCCCACCTGCCCCACTCCCCCCACAACCTTTGCTCCATGCAGGCAGGCTCTATCCACACTGCAGCCTGGAGCATGGAGGACATCTCCAGCCTGGCCCTGAAGCAACAGCATGCAGCTGGTATGGTTGCTATGGAGGCTGGGCTGAGGCCATGCTCCATGTCCCAGGCTAGAATGGGGACAGAGCCTGCCAGTACTGAGCAAGGGTATGGGGGAAGTGGAGAGCAGATGCTGGGTGGTGAAAGGGGAAGCAGAAGCTGGGGAAGTAGGAGCAGAGGTTGTAGGGAGCAGAGGCTGGGCAGGAGTGGCAGGAGGGGGAGCAGAGTGGGGAAGGGGGCCCTGAGGCCGTGGGGAAGCAGGCAGGGGCAGAAGTGGCAAGGGGGCAGGCACAAACAGGAGGAACGTTGCTTGACCACCTCTCACCACCTGCCCCCCTTGAAGCAGTGGGAGGAATGAATTAAAGATAACCCTCCAATAATTAGATTCTGTACTTGAAATTTGTAGCAAATGTATACATTTTTCATGTATAGAATCTAATTTTGGGGGGGGCATCATCTTAAATTTGAGTATAGTACTTCCAACCATTTGGGTTTTGATCCTCTAGGTGTGAATAGCTTTTGTCCCTACTGTAGTCTCAATTGCCCTCTTTGACCAGCAATCATACAAGGGTATTGAATAATACTCATATCAAACATCATAAATTAGGCAAACATAAAAATAATAAAATTAGATTTTGTTTATTTTTATCCAAACATTTTAGATCAGCAAATCTAATTCATGATAACATGCATGATATTCAATGAACATCCCAAAATATAACAGGTTTGTGACAACAAACTTGAAAATTGGACTTGCACTCTTAGTCATATAAACACTTCTGAAAATTCAACTCTTAAAATCAAATGAAGCTAGAAATTTCTAAGGAGCCTAGATCATATCAAATTTCATACTATTGGCTTCTTTGAAGAGCTGCAGCCTAAAATAGCATAGATGTGTGTGTGTGTGTGTGTGTGTGTGTGTGTGTGTGTGTGTGCGCGCGTGTGCACGCACACACACACACACACACACACACACACACACACACACACATAACATTGTTAACAGAGAAAAGAAATGTATCAAGGTTGTATATTTGTTTGTTATATAAATTATTCAAGATCTGTGTTTATTTGTTACAGAGAGAATAACTCAGGTGAAAACAGACATCTATGTTACCAGTTTTGGTCCAGTGTCAGACACAGAAATGGTAGGTGACAGGATATGGATACTAAATCAATCTTATTTATTTTATTAAAATAACTTTAAAAGTGATCATTTTCCAGATAGATGCAGTATTAACAAGACTGGTCCTTTATGCCAGGAATACACCATTGACGTCTTTTTCCGACAAAGCTGGAAAGATGAAAGACTTCGATTCAAAGGACCAATGCAACGGCTCCCTCTTAACAATCTACTTGCCAGCAAGATCTGGACCCCAGACACTTTCTTTCACAATGGCAAGAAGTCTATAGCTCACAACATGACAACACCAAACAAACTTCTACGCCTTGAAGACGATGGCACCTTACTGTATACCATGAGGTAAAGACCTGGGCTATTTTCTGATTTCCTTTGAATCTCACTCCTAGTAGCTTTCCAACTACTTGTGTGTCACATTTTTTCCTCTCAGAATAGAAACAGCGAAGTAGTTTTTTGAGCATTTTATAAGAATATCAAGAAAAATGGAAAACATAATCACTGCCTACAACTACCAATTAATTAGCAATTTCTGAGTAATGCTAGGGCTGAAATATTTCCTTTATTTAAATGGAATTCTCAGCAAAATGGATGATTCAGTCTTGCTTTTTTATGTAGGTCTGTACTCCCTTATTATTTGTTTTTGCAGCTGCTCTGATGAATTGATGTGAGAGCACTATGTAAAAGGCCAGAAAGTTAAATCTGTCTGATGCAGTATGTCTTCAATTCTCAAAGCTTACAAGTCATGCAATTTAACTAATTTGATGAAAAGACAAGTTATCACTAAGGTAAAGTCTGTCATGAACTAGGACAGGGGCACTTCAAAACTATCTTACCAAATGTGTTTTAAACCAGAGTTGGTAAATTTTGTAGGCTGAGAATCAGATTTGTGCCTGAACTTCCAGGCCTAGCACCTCATCCAATCTGAGGATATTATGAAGCCACATTATTTCCAAATATAAATGTTAAAGCAGTGTTAAAACCGTGATGCTAATGCATTACCTGACTTATCTGAAAATCTTACACAAATTCTACATAGGACTAGGATAATTTGTTCATTATAAGTATTTAATTTTCAGTAATGAAGACTTACTTTCATCTTTCACAGGTTTTTCATTGAAAGTGTAGTCATGTGACAGTACTTACAAAGAGATTAAAAAAACAACTAGAGAAGAGACTGTTTATCCTAAGCTTATCACATAAGAGTATCTGTCAGATCAAAGTAATGCCTAAATCCCTGCTGCATAAGTCTTTGCAAGAATAGAAAGATTTAGAAATCATTAGTTATTTCTTTGCAACCGCAAAAAATTAAATTCTAAAAATCTAAATAAGTCCTGCAGTGATTGTGGGTTTTGTTTTCTCATTTTTTCCTGTTACTTATTCTATTCTTTTCTAATGCCAATTGTCACATTCGTGATCTCAGGGATAACTGATAAATCCTGAAACAATGTGGCAATATCTTAAAAAAAAAAGAAGTGAGTGAGCGAAAGGTCAAATAGATGCGAGAGAAATCCAAATTCCAAAATGGTCTCAAAGTTGTAAGCCTTAATTCTAGCCCCATCATCCCTAGAGTTACACTAATGCAAGTGCTGTACCTAAAACAGAATTACTTGAGGTTTACACTTGTGTAAAATAAATTCAGATTAAAGTTGCAATCTATATGGAACAGAGCCAGATGCTTTCTGTTGCCAGCATACTATATGTGACTAGTTTTATGACGTGAAGGGTGTCTGAAGTGACAGTCAAAAAAATTTGAGGTTAAGATAACTTGGGACTGGCACATTGTTTTTTTTTCTAGGCTAGAGAGAAACCCACAACATTAAGGAAGCTCAAGAATATAAAATAGATTATTCTTCTTTGGGTGACAGGCAATAGGAATAAATCCCAATTTATTGCATATATCATATAAGGAAATAGAATGCATCACCTTCTGAATGGCTTACTACAATCCATTTGTAAACAATTCATAAATTTAAAATAAAAAAGTCAGGTCGTCTATTGTACCTGCTATCCTATCGAAACCTAGGCCAAGAGAGTGTTTATATAATGTATAATCAGTTCAAGATATCTGTGTGGTCCTGTGCCAAGAGTGTCAGCTCTTTTATGACAGGCATTTCTGAGAGAAATTTCAGTGCTAGAAATAATATATGGCAGCTAATCCCCAGTGGAATGGTTGAGAGCTGCAATATGTCATGTTTTAAAATGTAACAAGGAGAATGCATAGTGTGTGTCAACAGGTACAGGTAAACCCATCTCAGAAGTCTTAACTCTTTGTGTATGTTGGCAAAGACCTTGGCATCATGGACACAAGGAAAACATTTGCCTTAACCCTGGAAGAAGTTAAATCACCTGGATAATTTTCTAGAGTTCTAGAGATGGAGCTATCTCTAACATCTAAAGTCACAGAAAAAGTAGGGTAATATTACATTTCTTTGACATGCCACTGTCATTACAAGGGGGCTATATTTGTGCCCTGTGGTTCAGAAGCAAACTGCAAACCAAAAATACGCTTACTTAACCATGTTTGAATTTTTCTTTAAATTGCCTCCAGGCCTAAGGTCCACCTAATCATAAAGGCTGGCATGGTTAGGAGATGCCAATTTCTATAGCCAACAGCACCACAAGGGGGTTGCATACCATGCTATTCAGCCCAACTTTGATTCCCCAGCCCATATAACTAGGTGCCTATTGGCAACTGAGTCATACTGAGTCTGGAGCAAGGCCTGAATTCATGTCCGTGGAGTTGCAGAAAGGTGCCTTAACAACTGCCATCCCATCTCTCAGGGATATTAAATCAACAAAAACTTGAAGTGATATGCTCCTGCTATTATACAATAGAGAGAGTTTAAATCTCTAGATTCACGCTACACAGCTGGCCAAACAGTCCAGTAAACCAGGAAGGATTGAGGACTGGAGTGATGGATACCTTCCCTTGAAAGCCTCAGTTGGAGAAAAAAAAATCAAAGGGATTGTGATGCTGGAAGTTCCTTCCTTTCTTATTTCTCAGAGGAAACCTTCCAGTGCTGTCGCCAGTGTGGCTAAGCAGTGCTTCTCCCTTGGGTCCCCCATCAGGTGGTCTGTTGCAGAAGACTGCATTGCACATAGTACCAAAGGTAGTCTCACTTCAGCAGCATGCAACTTAGTGTGAGAAACTCTGTAAACTAGGTCAAGTAGAGCTTCTTGCTACTGCAACATGTCTGCTTCTGGCACCCAGTTTAACTTGTGCTCATGCCTCTCTGAACCAGTTAATCTTAAATGTGCCATGCTGGTCTATCTTCTGCCTGCCCTGACTTCAGACTAATATGTCTAACCCCCTCTCAGTTTAACTTGTGTAAGGCTAGTTTGGGCATTTTCATGCTATGCTGTGGTATGCAATGCAAACAGTCAACTTCAGCTACTACTGAATCTTTTGGGAACAGTAATGATCAAGCCCATACTGACTGAGGTGTCCACTTAAGGAAAGCTTGATTGTAACTGCCTTCCTGCACCTCTCTTGGAGTACATTCCTGAGGATATCATAGTGAACAGTGTGGGCAACAGAGAAGCACAGAACCTTAGCTAGAAGGATGTGCCTTGCTTCCTTTGATTCCCCATCAGATGTGCTTAGTTTTCAGTGGCCTGTGAATTTTGGGGCCAACCCACTGCCACTTGTGTAGCGGTTATTTCCCCACACGTATATCAGGAACAATTGTGGAATTTCCCAAACTGTATGCAGAAGTAATTTATGTGTATTAGGGGAGAACTGGGCCCTGACTCGGTGCTAGAGATATCTGAACCACTTTAATGACCTTCTGCCTGGGCTATCTGAATTAAGAGGAGGTAAAGAGCAAAGTGTGGGGTGTCCTGCAATATCATATGGATTCTTACTATAAAACATGTTTAGATAAACAAGCGACTAAGCAAGTCTGCTAGAATTCACACAGAAGAGTCATTTAAACCATGAAAAAAGACTTCTTGATAAGACCAGGAGAGCTACACACATTGGAAACTGACTTGCAAAAAGCCTGACTCAGAACACAAAAGAAAATACAGCAAATTATAGTGAAATGATTAAAAAAGAAACAAAAATGGCAGAACTTTGGAGGGTGAATGAAAATATTGTAGAACATCGATTATCTCAAATAATTTGTTTCACTATTTTTGAATAATCATTTTTTCTAGATAATTTGTTTAAGGAATCTTCAGCAGCCCTGAAAAGTCTGTTCAGAGCTGTTCCAGTGGCCATGGTAGCAAGTTCCCTGCCGGCAACTCCCTAGCAGTTCATCACCGGGCAGTCTCTCAGGGAGCCAGCACTGTCTGCATGAGTCAGAGAGTGAGGGTGAAGTTACACATTACACTTAGAACATACTAAGGGCACTTAAAATGTGAGCATCCACACACAAAAGCTCATTGATTCATGCTAAGTGCCCTCTGGGCATCTCAAAGTTATGCCACCTCAGGTGAGGGTTAACTCTGAGCTGTGCTACCTAGCTCATGTTAGGGTAACTTCAGTCTGCTCCATGGAGATAAAATGAGCAATTTTCAGTGCTCCAGCTTTTCAGAATGTACTGCTCCCAGCCCCTCTTCCCCAGCAGGGATAGAGCCCAGGTGTCCTGGCTCCTTGCCACACTCCTGCTCACCAACCCCCTCATTGCAAATCAGAGCTATGCAGGCAAGAAATAGTATGTAATAGTAATGTGTGACTGCCCACAGCTTGCTCTAACTTTAACACTGATTAACATTCCACAGATTTAGTATGGTCTAACTGTAACATACAACTTCACCCTGAGGGGGAAGGTCAGGAGACCTCCCACTTACTTGATCTTCCAGATACTCAACTTCTGGACAATAGGCATTCCATACTATGAAAGAGAAAATATCCTGCAAAGTTATCACCTTAAATATAATAATCAGCGGGCACATCAACACGGTCATTAAGACACTTTTGCTACTGCGCATTAAGTTTAGTACCTCTGGGCACTTTTACATGTGCTCTAGGCATTAAAGTACATGTGTAAACAACTATGTGGTTATAAACAACAAAAGGATTGCATGCAAAAGAGCAGCTCCCCCAGCACTTACGTTGTTTTCAATGTAAAGCAATTTAATACATTTATTTTCTAACTTTCTTCATATTTGATCAAATAAGTCTTTTCATTGTAATGAAAATGCATTGTTTGGATTTGCATCTTCTGTTGATACTGACCATGTCAGAAATGAAAGTATTTTGCCAGTAAAAGTGTTAATGTGCTTCTGTGCATGCACATTGTCAAAGTCCCCCTGCATCAAAATAGGACCACAATATACCAACTAGACAGATGTTAACAATAGTGTTCTGTGCTGTGAAAAAACTACAGGCTTCCTAG